AAAGATTTGTTTCACATCCTAATTATTGTCTCTACTTATCTTATTTAATATATCATGCCAGTATGTTCATACCTGCTTAGCATAGGCTATTATTTTATACAATCTACTATGCAATTTCCTAAGTCAAACAGTTGGTGGCATTATTGTACAAATTCTGTTAAATTGAACATTGTGAACTTGGCAGTCTCAAAGATGTTCGGCTGATATAGTCTATTGTTGTAAAGTCAGTGACCAAGTTATAAAACTATATTCTGGTAAGGTATGATATTAGGTCAGAAGAAGTGGTCACTTTCAAAGATGTTCTCACTCAGTAGCAGTGCCAGGAAAGTGTAGGGTTTCACAGGCAAGCGGAGGAGGGACATACATAGCTGATCTAGACTCTGGAGACATCTGCAGTTTTGTTGCTGGTTTATGAACTTTCTTCAGGTGTTGCTGTCCTCTATCCATTGATGCGCAAAACACTGTGTTGTAACCTACCTACTTTTATCAATTTTTTTGAGTAAGAGTTGTAGAAGAGAGACTGGAAGACATGTTGCTGTTGTTTCTAAGTAAGTTCCAACTATGTTTTTACTAAAGCAAGAACAGAAGCTTTGAGAAGTAGGCTATTGACAGTTCTTCCTGCATCAATGCATACCTTTTTAAAGAGTCAATGCAAGGGAAGATGGTAAAGCTTTTATAAATTCATTTCTAAGATTTTATACCCAGTTAAGGGGGTGTTTCTTGTATTGTGGTTAGTAGTACATTTGTTCTCCATTGGTATTTTGTTTATTCTGTTGACAATTAAAAGTTTGTTGTACAATGTGAAAGAAGTAGCTATGATGATCTCCATCTCTGTACTTTTATGGTGTAAGCAGACAACAATCATAATATAACAATCTTGACCCACTTGTTATTTATTTATTTTTTGACCTACTTATGAAGTGTATGTCTACCATTTTGAAAGATCAGTTATAGAGTAGTGTATAAAAATCTAATAGACTGAATTGAACAAATGTTAATTTACCCTTACAGGCATTGTGTAAATGAGGTTAAAAAACATGGGCATCATGTCTGCCTTAGTTATCTGGTGGTGTGTGGGTGCTTTTCTTATGGGTTCACTCCAATGTGTTTTGAGTTAACTGCGGTCAGAGTGGGAGAGTCAGCACAATCCCTGCAGCCTGTCATTATATGTGTCAGTAATGAGTGTCTCACCATAAAGGAGCAGAAGTTACTCAAAAGATACAGGGGATTACCACTCAAACTCACATTTTAGGGCCCTAGACTCCTATAGTGAATAACATTGTCTTACATGAACTGTGAATACATTTTTTTTTAAATAGTAAATTCTTCATGAATTCTTGCAAAAAAAAATAATTAGCATGAGAACATGTTCAATGATTTACCAATATTGTGGTCATTGCAGAAATTCGTAGGAGAGGAAACCATGTGCATCATTTTTGCCTGTGGCCTCGTGAATGAATAAATACATTTTCAAACTGAACATTGAATATAAAACACAGTAGGGATTCGCCTTGATATTTAAGTTATTGAGAAAGTGGCAGTCATTAAACATGGCAATTCAGTAGCATGTAGTTAAATCTTTAAGTGTTCATTTGGCTGCCTGAGTCAGTCAGCTACTGTATACCTGCAGCAGAGACCAAGGAGAAAATTACAGGGTTTGAGACTCTGTTTTCTCTCTGTCTACAGAATACTTTATACCCTTCAGTGCTGCTCACACCACACTTTTCCAGGAGGCTCTCACATGCCAGTATGGTGGTACACTCTAATATGAGCTCATTGTACAAAACCCTCCGACTGCAGTCACTCAAACTCTGATACACTTTTTCACTCATGGACATGCATCAAATGTTGATCATATAGATGAGACATCTTGCCTCTTCTAGATATCGTCTAGTTATAAAAACATCAGCATTAAAGTGTCGGAAGTGGACGATAGTAATTTTAATCCTGGGCGATCCTTTGAAATAAATAATGTTATTTCAATGCCCCTAGAGACAAGCAACTAATCACATAGGGAGTATGTTTACTGATAGTTTCCAGTATACCATAAGTAAAAACAGTAGTCAATGTGAAACCGTGACAAGGCTGTACTGGAATGTAAAAGAGGAGATGAGTCTCTTCCTGAGCTGTAGATATCACTTTTACTCATGTGAGGGGCTTCTGTCATGTCTCTACATGATGAACAAAACACCTGGTCTCTACTGTCTCTCATAAACCCCACAACTACCACATCAAAATATCATACTGTAGGCCTACTCAAAACCATTAGGATCCATTTTGATGGTGTTAATTTAAACAAAACATAATCCTGCCTGCTGAACCTATGTGATTTGACAAGAATAGCTAACCTAACACTGGTATTAGAATAGGCATCTATGGCCTGTGTAATAGGAAGCCAGCTGTAGTGCTGGGCAGTGGCGGTGGTCACTTTGTCTGGTGAGGGCTGGCCAGCTGTGTTTCCCCCCAGGACCTTGGCCCTGAGAGAGGTTATCAGGGGAATGAATTGCCTCTGTGTGCTGCCTGGGCTGTATACATCTCTCTGTAATGTAATAGCACTTGTTGAAAATCTGGGTTAGAAATAGAAGATTTGCAAAAGGGAATCCTTTGGGGTCACTTAGAAATGTCCTTGTTTTCCATGAAAACATACATTAAATGAGTTTGAATAGGAAATATAGCAAAATGCATAGGAAATGTAGTCATTGACAAGGTTAGAAATAATGATTATTAATTGAAATAATAATTGTGTCCTTCAAACTTTGCTTTCGTTAAAGAATCCTCCATTTGCAGCAATTACAGCCTTGCAGACCTTTGGCATTCTAGTTGTCAATTTGTTGAGGTAATCTGAAGAGATTTCACCCCATGCTTCTTGAAGCACCTCCCACAAATTGGATTGGCTTGATGGGCACTTCACACGTACCATACGGTCAAGCTGCTCCCACAACAGCTCAATAGGGTTGAGATTCGGTGACTGTGCTGGCCACTCCATTATAGACAGAATATCAGCTGACTGCTTCTTCCCTAAATAGTTCTTGCATAGTTTGGAGCTGTGCTTTGGGTCATTGTCCTGTTGTAGGAGGAAATTGGCTCCAATCAAGCGGCGTCCACAGGGTTTGGCATGGCGTTGCAAAATGGAGTGATAGCCTTCCTTCTTCAAGATCCCTTTTACCCTGTACAGATCTCCCACTTTACCACCACCACAGCACCCCCAGACCATCACATTGCCTCCACCATGCTTGACAGATGGCATCAAGTACTCCTCCAGCATATTTTCATTTGGTCTGCGTCTCACAAATGTTCTTCTTTGTGATCCGAACACCTCAAACTTTGATTCGTCTGTCCATAACACTTTTTTCCAATCTTCCTCTATCCAGTGTCTGTGTTTTGCCCATCTTAATCTTTTCTTTTTATTGGCCAGTCTGAGATATGGCTTTTTCTTTGCAACTGCCTAGAAGGTCAGCATCCCGGAGTCGCCTCTTCACTGTTGACGTTGAGACTGGTGTTTTACGGGTACTCTTTAATGAAGCTGCCAGTTGAGGACCTGTGAGGCGTCTGTTTCTCAAACTAGACATTCTAATGCATTTGTCCTCTTGCTCAGTTGTGCACTGGGGCCTCCCACTCCTCTTTCTATTCTGGTTAGAGCCAGTTTGCGCTGTTCTGTGAAGGGAGTACTACACAGCGTTGTACGAGATCTTCAGTTTCTTGGCAATTTCTCGCATGGAATATCCTTCATTTCTCAGAACAAGAATAGACTGACGAGTTTCAGAAGAAAGTTATTTGTTTCTGGCCATTTTGATCCTGTAATCGAACCCACAATTGCTGATGCTCCAGATACTCAACTAGTCTCAAGAAGGGCAGTTTTATTGCTTCTTTAATCAGCACAACAGTTTTCAGCTGTGCTAACATAATTGCAAAAGGGTTTTCTAATGATCAATTAGCCTTTTAAAATGATAAACCTGGATTAGCAAACACAACGTGCCATTGGAACACAGGACTGATGGTTGCTGATAATGGGCCTCTGTACGCCTATGTAGATATTCCATTAAAAATCAGCCGTTTCCAGCTACAATAGCCATTTACAACATTAACAATGTCTACACTGGTATTACAGCTGGGTAACTGAGACAACTGGGTGGAGAAAAATAGGCCAAAATAAAAAATAGAAAAACAAGAAGAATGTGTAAGAATGAAGCAGGGAGGAGGAATTTAAATTTAAATAACAGGGAGTGTCAGCACCAAATGAGTAATAAAGACCATCATTGTTTTCATCAAAATACTGATCAATTTGATGTTATTTTAATGGACAAAAAAATTGCTTTTCTTTCGAAAACAAGGAAATGTCTAAGTGACCCCAAACTTTTGAACGGTAGTGTACAGCTCACACATTTATTTCACTCACCTCAGGCATATAAAGTATTTTAATGAAAACAATAATGGTTTTATTACTTCTTTGGTGCTGACACTCCCTGCTTCATTCTTACACATTCTTCTTGTTTTTCTCTTTTTTCTTTTGGCCTATTTTTCTCTGTTCCTCCACCCAGTTGTCTCAGTGACCCAGCTGTAATAGCAGTCAGTCCTGGCTACTGTATGAGCTATCCGTTCACAACAGCATCATGACCAGAACTCAGGGGTCAGCTCAGGTCAAACCCTGCCAGACAGATAATTATGGTTCCTATGATGACTCTGTTGCATTTTCTATTATTTGTTTCAGTTTCTTCTGTCTTCTTCCTGCCCAGTGGTAAGTCCTCATAAAATAGAACTTAATTGTATTACATTTACATTTACATTTTAGTCATTTAGCAGACGCTCTTATCCAGAGCGACTTACAGTTAGTGAGTGCATACATTTTTTTATTTTTTATGTTTATTATTATTTACTCATTTTATTGCATCCAAAACATTTATGCATGTGTTTGCGGCTTTGATTTTAATTGTGTGATTTATGGGGTTTTAGGTGTTTGCCAAGTTTACTAATATGTCCCATGTGTGTGTATTGCATTAGCATGGGGCCAGAGCAGCAGCAGGTTAGGTGTGGTGGTGGAGGCCCGTAACATCACCCTCCCAGCCGGGACCCAGGCCGTGCTGCCCTGCCACAGCCCCCACATGATATGGACCCGGGACCGGCTGAAGGACCGCCAGAGGGTGGTCCACTGGGACCTGTTCCGGAGCACACCAGAGTACTCTGTGGAAAGGATACTGGACATGTCCACCGGCGTCAAAGAGAGAGTCTACAATGGGTTCAACAAGGGCCGAGTAACCATCCCCAAAACCGCCTTCACTGACGGGAACTTCTCCCTCGTCATCAACAGTGAGTTGGGCGTGTGTTGTCTATTGTATGCTAATGACTGTAAATGCTCCATAAAATAATATGGCATTTCATGCTGGACCAGATTAATAGTACACAAATTCTTGGAAATCTAGAAATTTACTTGTAATGTATGTTATTCTTCCAGATGTAGGAACAGCTGATCGAGGTGTTTATAGTTGTAATCTGCATCACCACTACTGCCAGCTGCACCAGTCCATCAAGATACAGCTCAACACCACCAAGTCAGGTGACTACCCTCAATACATTTCTGAATAGTAATAATCTAAGTAATCTTTTGCGTATTGACACTATTTGTTTTGCTTAATATAATAACACATTTCAACCTGTCCTGTCATGTCTCAGCCCGTAACGAGAAGCGCTACTGGGACGGGGACAAGACAGTGTTTGTGGTGTTGCTGGGGAGCTCTGTGGTGTTGCCTTGTGTGAACAGGCGGCCCCTGTGGATGGAGGGGCAGCAGGAGGACCAGCAGCAGGTAGCCCACTGGGACTGGCAGCCCCCTGGGGTGAGACCTGATGGAGCTGACCGCCTGGTGGACCTGTACGCCTCTGGAGAGCGCCGGCAGTACGGACCGCTTTTCCCCGTGGACAAGATGAGTGTCTCTGAGGATGCCTTCTCTGTAGGGGATTTCTCTCTGACCATCTCTAATCTCCAGCCTGTCGACAAGGGCCTGTACTCCTGTCACCTGCACCACCACTACTGCGGCCTGCACGAGAGACGCATCTTCAGGCTCATGGTGAAGCCTTCACTGCCCCCACCGCCTCCGGTCCTCACCGCTGCCCCTGTTGCCCCTGCTGTCCCGACTGTCCCTGCTATCCCCCACGCACTCCCCAATGATGACCCAAGTAAGAGACTCAGCATTACCCTTTCTCTTAGGAATTGCTTCTCTGATGGGAAATGAGAACCTATTGAAATCTTCATTAGAACATGCCATTCCTTCATTCCCCTTCCTGTCGTGTGAACAGGGAAAAGGTTTGAGGAGAGATCTGCCACAAAGATGCACTGACTTAACCAACCAAAAATGCCTATATTTTTGGTTGGTTAAGTCAGTGCATCTTTGTGGCAGATCTCTCCTCAAACCTTTTCCCTGTTCACACGACAGGAAGGGGAATGAAGGAATGGCATGTTCTAATGAAGATTTCAATAGGTTCTCATTTCCCATATGACCCATAAATACATCCCAGGAACAGTGTTCTCAGACTACAAAAGCTGCTGAAAAGACAGACAGACACACACCAATCAGATTAGGGAAAACGAAACTCAGGGAAGATGTGAAAAATAGATAATAGAGAGAAGATAGAATGATTGATTTATAGTTGGAAAGAGAAAGAGAAAAGAGAAAGTGCTTTCAAAGAACAGAACAGCAGCTTCATTCTTACTTTGAGTTTCGTTTTCCCTAATCTGATTGGTGTGTGTCTGTCTGTCTTTTCAGCAGCTTTTGTAGTCTGAGAACACTGTTCCTGGGATGTATTTATGGGTCATATTTACGTATAGGCATTTTTGGTTGGTTAAGTCAGTGCATCTTTGTGGCAGATCTCTCCTCAAACCTTTTCCCTGTCCGCTCGAGAGGAAGGGGGAGAGAAAGAGGGAATGAAGGAATGGGTGAAAGAGGCAACAAAATAAACAGACTGAGAGAGAACTGAGAGTTTTGGAGAGTGGAGAAAGGGAAATCTGACTGTGATGTTGGACTGCAGGCAGCCTGTCTGAAAGAGTCTGTCTGAAACACCACTAATTGGCCATAACGGAAGTGCTCTCATTTTCATTGGAGACCTTTTTCATTTTTCCGCAGTTGAGCAATGGCTTAGTTTACAGGAGGAGTCATTTTAGCTCCACAGAGTCAGACAGGAGCAGTAAAGCCAGACTCCAGGGGAAAGAGAGAGCGTGGTTAGGTTAGTATGAAAAATTTATGTACTCACTTACTGTAAGTCGCTCTGGATAAGAGCGTCTGCTAAATGAGTAAAATGTAAAATGTTAGGCTTTGCATCTGGTGTATTGGGATTTCTCTGTTAGTCTCTTTTAGTTTCATTAGGGAGTGAACGTTATTTATAATAATGGTTACATGGAGAAAATCGGACCTATCTGAAATGAAAATGGATGGCCCTCCCTTCAGCAAAATATATTTGACCTAAACCCTCCCTGAGCGCATTACATTTTTTTAAACATAAAGTGGATAGCAGAAAACATGGCTACCGTTTACCCTCACTTTTTGGACAGACCAGAGCCTTAGATATGCCGTTTTAGAAACTGTTCTTCGTTCTGTAAGCATTACATGGCAACGTAGGAATTTTGATAGCACACAGGGCTGCGGGGCAGAAGGTTGTTCTTTCATCATATTTAAGAAAAAAATGGCCTTTTATAAACATTTCATGCAATTCTATGTAATTTTACATATTAGCAGAATCTTTTTTAATACCACACAAATTACCGAAATTACAGGCTAAGAATGTACAGAGAGATAGGCCTGTGTGTTCATCTTATCATATTTATCCAATGCCAAATTAGTGTGTCTTGTTTGCAACGAAACTGTCCCTGTTTGCAAATAATTATAAATCTGAGCATGGTACTTTCAAAAGTTAGGCCTACCTTTCCACCCCAGACAGAGGAGGCCTACCGATGCAGAAAAATGTAAGCTTTAACTGCTAGCTACTTTTCTTCTGTGGCTTAACCCAATGAGAGAAGGTCACTAGTGTTTCCCTAAAAGGTGTCTGGGTTTAAACATCTTCTATTGTACAGAAAGTGAATAGCTTAATCAATTGATAGTGACAGAATTAGACTACTTCCCAGGCAAAGTACAAATGTTGTCTCCTCGGCTGTAGAAGGTTGTAGATCAGCCTCTGAATGTCAAATAAACAAAACAATGATATCAAATCAAATCAAATTGTATATGCCACATGCGCCAAATACAACAGGTGTAGAAATTACAGTGAAATGCTTACTTACAAGCCCTTAACCAACAATGCATTTTTATTTTTTATTTTTTTGTGTTAAGTAAAAAAAATAAAAGCAAATAACTAAAGAGCAGCAGTAGAATAAAAGAACAGTAGGGAGGCTATATACAGGGGGGTACCGGTGCAGAGTCAATGTGCGGGGGCACCGGCTAGTCGAGGTAATTGAGGTCATGTACATGTGGGTAGAGTTAAAGTGACTATGAATAAATAATAGAGAGAGTAGCAGCAGCGTAAAAGAGGGGGGTGGGGATGGGGGGGCAGTGCAAATAGTCTGGGTAGCAATGATTAGCTGTTCAGGAGTCTTATGGCTTGGGGGTAGAAGCTGTTGAGAAGCCTTTTGGACCTAGACTTGGCGCTCCGGTACCGCTTGCCATGCGGTAGCAGAGAGAACAGTCTATGACTAGGGTGGCTGGAGTCTTTGACAATTTTGAGGGCCTTCCTCTGACACCGCCTGGTATAGAGTTCCTGGATGGCAGGAAGCTTGGCCACAGTGATGTACTGGGCCGTACGCACTACTATCTGTAGTGCCTTGCGGTCGGAGGCCGAGCAGTTGTCATACTAGGTGGTGATGCAACCAGTCAGGATGCTCTCGATGGTGCAGCTGTATAACTTTTTGAGGATCTGAGGACCCATGCCAAATCTTTTCAGTCTCCTGGGGGGGAATAGGCTTTGTCATGCCCTCTTCACGACTGTCTTGGTGTGTTTGGACCATGATAGTTTGTTGGTGATGTGGACACCAAGGAACTTGAAGCTCTCAACCTGTTCCACTACAGCCCCGTCGATGAGAATGGGGGCATGCTGCTCAGTCCTCTTTTTTTCCTGTCGTCCACAATCATCTCCTTTGTCTTAATCACGTTGAGGGAGAGGTTGTTATCCTGGCACCACACGGCCAGATCTCGGACCTCCTCCCTATAGGCTGTCTCATCGTTGTCGGTGATCAGGCCTACCATTGTTGTGTCGTCAGCAAACATAATGATGGTGTTGGAGTCGTGCCTGGCCATGCAGTCATGGGTGAACAGGGAGTACAGGAGGGGACTGAGCACACACCCCTGAGGGGCCCCCGTCTTGAGGATCGGCGTGGCAGATGTGTTGTTACCTACCCTTACCACCTGGGGTGGCCCGTCAGGAAGTCCAGGATCCAGTTGCAGAGTGAGCTGTTTAGTCCCAGGATCCTTAGCTTAGTGATGAGCTTTGAGGGCACTATGGTGTTGAACGCTGAGCTGTAGTCAATGAACAGCATTCTCACGTAGGTGTTCCTCTTGTCCAGATGGGAAAGGGCAGTGTGGAGTGCAATAGAGATTGCATCATCTGTGGATCTGTTGGGGCGGTATGCAAATTGGAGTGGGTCTAGGGTTTCTGGGATAATGGGATAATGGTATTGATGTGAGCCATGACCAGCCATTCAAAGCACTTCATGGCTACAGACGTGAGTGCTACAGGTCAGTAGTCATTTAGGCAGGTTATCTTAGTGTCCTTGGGCACAGGGACTATGGTGGTCTGCTTGAAACATGTTGGTATTACAGACTCAGTCAGGGACATGTTGAAAATGTCAGTGAAGACACTTGCCAGTTGGTCAGCACATGCTCGGAGTACACGTCCTGGTAATCCGTCTGGCCCTGCGGCCTTGTGAATGTTGACCTGCTTAAAAGTCTTATTCACATCGGCTACGGAGAGTGTGATCACATAGTCATCTGGAACAGCTGGTGCTCTCATGCATGCTTCAGTTTTGCTTGCCTCGAAGCGAGCATTGAAGTGATTTAGCTCGTCTGGTAGGCTTGTGTCACTGGGCAGCTCGCGGCTGTGCTTCCTTTTGTAGTCTGTAATAGTTTTCGAGCCCTGCCACATCCGACGAGTGTCAGAGCCGGTGTAGTACGATTCAATCTTAGTCTGGTATTGAGTCTTTGCCTGTTTGATGGTTTGTCGGAGGGCATAGCAGGATTTCTTATAAGCGTCCGGGTTAGAGTCCCGCTCCTTGAAAGCGGCAGCTCTACCCTTTAGCTCAGTGCGGATGTTGCCTGTAATCCATGGCTTCTGGTTAGGGTATGTACGTACGGTCACTGTGGGGACGACGTCATCGATGCACTTATTAATGAAGCCAGTGACTGATGTGGTGTACTCCTTAATGCTATCTGAAGAATCCTGGAACATATTCCAGTCTGTGCTAGCAAAACAGTCCTGTAGCTTAGCATCTGCATCATCTGACCACATTTTTAGTAATCGAGTCACTGGTGCTTCCTGCTTTAGTTTTTGCTTATAAGCAGGAATCAGGAGGATAGAGTTATGGTCAGATTTGCCAAATGGAGGGCGAGGGAGAGCTTTGTATGTGTCTCTGTGTGTGGAGTAAAGGTGGTCTAGAGTTTTTTTCCCTCTGGTTGCACATTTAACATGCTGGTAGTAATTAGGTAGAATGGATTTAAGTTTCCCTGCATTAAAGTCCCCGGCACTAGGAGCGCTGCCTCTGGATGAACGTTTTCCTGTTTACTTATGGCCTTATACAGCTCATTGAGTGCAATCTTAATGCCAGCATCGGTTTGTGGTGGTAGATAGACAGCTATGAAAAATATAGATGAAAAGTCTCTTGGTAAATAGTGTGGTCTACAGCTTATCTGTCACGATCGTGATGAGAAGCAGACCAAGGCGCAGCGTGATAGGCGTACATACTTTATTGAAGTGTACACACGAACCAAAACAACAAAACGATACGTGAAGTCCTAGGTCATAACACAAACCAAACGGAACAAGATCCCACAATAAACTGGTGCCACCAGGCTGCCTAAGTATTGTCCCCAATCAGAGACAACGAGCTACAGCTGTCTCTGATTGGGAACCACCCTGGCCAACATAGAAACTAAACGATCTAGAACACAACATAGAAAACTATAACATAGAAAAATCCACACCCTGGCTCAACATATAAGAGTCCCCAGAGCCAGGGCGTGACATTATCATGAGATACTCTACCTCAGGCGAGCAAAACCTCGAGACTTCCTTAGTATTAGATTTTATGCACCAACTGTTGTTTACAAATATACACAGACCGCCACCCCTTGTCTTACCATATGCATCCGGGTATTTTACAGTTTGTTTCTAGCATAAAGCAAGCGCTGTTATAGATGACTTTATATTATCGGATTCGTTTTATTTTCTTCCAAATCTTAAGCTAAAGCTTATGCTTTTTGCCATTTTCTTTAATAAAAGGTAGGCCTATGGCATACTCTCTCATACCCCTCAATTTGAGTCCTGGTTTTAACTTAACAGCCCTTCGGTGACATGGAGGATGGTTATTTAAAGAGTGCATGGTGGGTGGAGGAATTGGCCGACTAATCTATGGATATAGCAGCCTATAGCTTAATTGAGTCTGTCAAACAGTAGGCCTACCTCTTATTTCTGAAATAGGAAGAAATAGGCTTCAACACAAAGCTCTCTTGTTGTTAGTCAAGTCTAATTAAAACTTGAATTTGCATACTTACAGCACCATAAGCTGTCCATTTCCTATTGATTGTGATGCGGTTGCTGCTTCAAGTTTCAGCACCACAATACAAGTTACTAGAATCTGGCTTATTGTGAGGTCAATAACTCTGATAAATACATAATGGGCAAGAAACATTGTTTTTATTCAATTATATAGTCAATTATAGTAGTAGCAAGCTATGAAAGTTGACCTCCAGTCCTCCTTCTCATCTTCGCTCTCTCCTTCTCAAACTGAACAGAACATAGGCTATAGACTAGTCCGTGTGCAAGATATTGCATTTTTTGGACTAGGCCTAATCCATTTTTTGTCTCTCCTCCTGTACTACCACTGTAGGCCTACACAGCAAAGCCATTGGTTAGGCAGCACACACAAAAAGGTTTGATCAACAAGAGCAGAGCAGACTGGGGCTCAGGGTTGTGATATCCATTGCAGTGTGTAATGCAGCCTAATTTTATTTACACCGTCCCAGAAGCTATCTTAGAAATATAACTTCGCTCTGTGCTTCTCCGAGCATGCACTTCGTAGCCTATAGCCTTTAGGTGATGGATCATTTGATTGAGACCACACTAAATAGGCTATAGGCGCTAATTCTAAAACACAGATTTTTTTTTAATGTCATCAATTACAAACTACTTGAACCTCCCCTGGACTAGATTTAAAAAATACTAAACCCTCCCCTTGACTGAAATTGAAAAAGCATGACCCTCCCCCATTTTCCTCCAGGTACCCATTCTGTAAATGTCGATCCATCCCTTATCTCTCCCAGACTCTCTACAGTAGCCTATCTTTACAAAACAGTAGTATATCCCTACCCACTTCATCTCTCTCTCCTTCTCTCTGGCCCTCTGGTTGTGGCGTGTTTATCAGCAGCAGAAGGAAAAGGGTGCTACATCTGTTCAGCCTCTGGGCCAGCTGGAACATAAAAGGGAACAGTGGGGGTGGGGTTGGCAGGGGTTGGTTCTGTGTTAGATTTGGATCCTCCTTAGCCCTTTTAAGATAGGTTGACCCATTTAACAGCATTGTAAAGTATCCAGGGAAGACATTCAGGTGGATCGATGCAGACATGGCTTGAGGTCTATCTTTACGTTTCTCCTACTTAGTTGTGCTTCCTTTGTTAAATCCAGCCAACTCTTATCTGTGCTTATAGACCTCTACAATCCTCTATAATTGCAGCAGTCATTACCATACATTTTTGTTACACTGTAATCATTTATGGCAAGCTGAAGTAGAGCTCAGTTTTGTTGTGACCACCAGAACGTGCATAAGTCAGTAACAGCGTGTAGCTAGCTTAGAATAGAATATGCTGTCAGTGTCTTCTTGTTTAAATGAAGACGTCTTCCCTCAGCTCTTTGGCTGCAAATTAACCACATTGTTTCAACAAGACTAAAGCAGTTTGCATGGCACGTCACACTGTGTTTCTGTGTTTACGTTCTAGTCTGATCTGTCAGTGGAAATTAAACAGGCAACAGCTGAGACACGGAGAGAGAACTGAGGCTTGACTAATTGTTCTCCAGAGATAGTTGACCTTGATGGTGACACTGCGGTTTTGTGCATATGAACATAATTCAAAACAGACAAGAGATAATTAGCAACTCTGATGCCACTTGGGAGTTTTAAATTAGATTAATTGACTACAATTTGTTCTGTAAGACTGGTGCGGTTTGCAAGATCCACCCAGGAGTGGTATCTGTCCTCAGATCATTTCTTATTTGAAGCCTCCCTCAACCTCGTACCTATCCTCAGGCTAGTCATGACAAACCTGCGCTTTGGCCAAGGACAATAGATTTAAACTACAGAAATGCCTCAAGGTGATGGAAATCACAACCATTTTGGTTGGGCTGAGTTATCTAACAGGTCTCAGCAGGGTATGGAGTGGTGTTAGTCATCAGCCTTCCCAGGCTTGGGCTCCACCATCATCATCCCCAATGACTATCATTTCTGTTCTCACCCCAGCAGGTGAGAGCGAGACACGTTTGATAACAGTGGCATGTTGATTTTAGGGTTATGATGCAGTAACTGTTATTGTCTAGTGGAAAGGTATGGATGGATGACATGTTATTGTGTGCAAAGAGTTTGAGCAGATTCTAGCCAGTGGAAGAAACACCTCAGTGAGGGAAGTAACAATTGTATATGCCAATCTGAAATAGCTATTTTGGCTGTGTTTATGAGAAGAAGTAAATCAGTGGAAAAGTCATTCAGACAGACTTGTCTGCACATAACAGAATTCCTCCCCTCCCACCTTCATTTTCTCCCTCCTTTTTATTGGTTAATCTCCATTTCTATTTGAAGGAGAAAAATAGCAGCTGCATTGCATCAGGTCTGGAACTCATTACAGCTGAAAAGTGTTTTGACATAAAACTCCTGCTCTTCCTTGCCTCACGCTCTCTGCCTTACGCTCCCTGAGAGAAATGAAAATCAGCCTAAAATAAGCACAATTGTTTTTAAATTAAGCAGAAAAAAACTGACCATTTTAATTGTCCTTCAAAACGCAATATAAATGACATATAACCATTACATATAATCATTTTAACTATCGCTAAGATAAATTGTTTGATTAAAATTGTAATTTCACTGAGAATGGATAAAACAAAACGTGAATAAGACAATGTACGTTGAATCACCAGACTGTGTTTATAAAGCAATGGGTGTTATTAATGGACCAGTGAATCCACTGTGTTGTCCTTCCACCTTCAGGCCCTAACGTGGTTGAACTTGAGAGACCACGGGTAGTCAACGTCATCCTCCCTGAGCACCGAGGTCACTTCTTCCAGCAGATGGGCTACTTCCTGGCTACCTTCCTCCTCCTAGCCTTCATCATAACAATCGTCATTGTGCTTACCCAACAACGCAGAAAGAGAGGTAGTGTGTGTGTGTGTCTTCCACTGTATGTATCTCTTCATGTCTCTTCTCTATCACACACAACCAAACTTTATATTTGTATGGATGTCCTCAATTTCTTCACTTTCTATTTATATGAATGTCCTCAATTTCATATTTAAATCAGTTAAACGGCTCTGTGTGTGATTGGTGATCTGTAAATGGTGTGATTAAAGTGTGTTAAATCTTGTTTTAGGGCTGGAGTACGACCTGCGAAGATCTGAACGGTCAGAACTGATTTAGTATGGTGGATTGTCACACTTGATAATGAGAACATGACTCATTTTAAGGAGAACCTAAACTCTCACTGAACTGTTACCACTAACCACCTCCCTCTCTTACTGGTAAACAGGAGTCATGTGACTGGCCACGATGACATCACATTGGATGCCATAGAGCTGAAGGTCTGCAACCAGGAATACCTGAATTCAGGTAAGGTTCCCATGCTGCTGTAGGCCCTACCTCATATAGACTAGAGAGTTTGAACAGGGTGACTCATATCAATAATGGCTGTCGCTGCACAGAGCTCATACGGTACAGTACATCATGACATGTCGAATTTAATGACCAACCTTTTTGCACTTTCTATCCTTAGACTGCAAAAACAACCTACAGAAAGAGAGAGATGTGTCCAAAGGCTGCAATAAAGGTAAGTGTATGTGACATCAGGGGTTCAAAACAACAATTGCATGTCTAATTTAATGTTATTTTTTTTGCTAATGTCACTTCTCATTTCTTTCCTACCATTCTCTTCCCTCCTCCATATCTCTCTCTCTAGAAATGGATGGAAAGTTGTGGATGTGAGCCAGAGAGAGCTGATGTGCCGCTGGCGGCTCCAGAGCAGACATACATGACTAGGAAGAGGAAATAAGGGATTAGAATGGTGGAATCCAAAGAGGAGGACAGGAGGGACTCTGTCTCTTTTTATAGACACCCCTTACCAAACTCTCTTACCAAAACGTTTCTCTTGCTGCGCCAGTTTTTAATATTTTATTTTATATTTTCATACTCGTGTATTCTCTATTCTGATCTGCTGTTATTTCAACATGGCTATACATGTCCTCAATTTTGTATTGTACTACACAGATATTTAATGTCAAGTATTCTATATCACAAAGAACAACCAGTGTGTACTGTACAACATTCCTTGTCTTTTTGTACATAACGAAACACTTTCTATCACTGTATGACTTCATTTTCAGAATGCATGTTGTCTTTAAATGTATGTGGGAAAACTGTCATGTACCGTTTATGATTTCAGAGCTCAGCAAGCACAGAATTAGTTGAGTATTTTTATTAAAATATTTGCACAAACCTTTAATTTACTAGTAACATGTTACATTAAGTCATGGTATTCTGTCTGTAAAGGGTTTGTAAAGGGTTATAAGTATTTTATAGCTATGCTGTTAATTATTAGTTTGTAGATTGCTTAGAAATCAGTAATACGCCATTGTAACTGTTATAATGGTACTCTTACCAAGTTCATATGTGATTCATGATCATGGACCACAAAGAAAGGCTATACATGTAATAAAACTCAGGAAATCAAGCCTTAAACAGAATCAATGCGTCCAGATGTGGTTGTTGAGAATGTATGTTGTTAGAATGTGTTTGTCTGTATGTGACTGATTTGTCTATTTGTGTAATTTGTTTGTTTAGTTGTTTATTTGGATCCCCATTAGCTTTTGCAAAAGCAGCAGCTACTCTTCCTGGGGTACACAAAAAACAAAAACATGACAAGTAACAAAACACTGATACGCTGATAGACAAGAACAGTCACACAAATGTAAAATACAACGATATACAAACAATGCAACAAAAACATAATACAAACAATACAACAACAAAAATAATGTGTGTGTTAGAGTGTGTCTGTGTGTAATGTACACAGGCTTGCAATACACTGTCTGTAAAGTTTGGAACTGCCAAGTTGACAAGCCAAAGAATCTTGCAAAGCCACTGTCTTGTTGCAGTGATCAGGATCCTCATCTAAAAGATGATGAATTCAACTATTGCAATTGGATGAAGGGGTCCTGACAATATTTCAGTTTGGATGTTTTACATACAAGCAACTTATCTATGCAGTTGCATGTTGTTGGTCCATTCTAACCTCTCTAATAAAGGTTAAAAACAAACCATAGTGTTTTGATCAATATTTGATCATTTCATTACAAAGTGTACAAAGTGGTATACTGGTACACTGAATTTATTAATATGAAGAAAGATATTGGTTAAATGACATTTTATTCAAGAAAGAGCCTCGCAATAAATAATTATTAGGAATTCATCTTGGTTTCTTGAAAATAATTCTAAGTAACAACAAATAAATTGGCCACAGGTATTTGTTAGCATAGGTTAGAAACATGCCACATTCATTCTATAGTTTTCTTCACTCACTGGCTGTGGCTAGACTTTCTGCCTACACTGTACAGCAGCGCAACACTACCACCTACTGTCACAAGTTGGACGCAGAGGTGATCAAGAAAGTCTGCACATTTTGATGATAATATTGATTATGATGATGATCACTTGTTAATATTATAATAATCATTGTAGTTAATTTGTGATTTTAAAATGGATTTAGAATGATTATATTATCAGCTATTATTAGATAGATAGTTACTAAGTTGTGATAATTAGATTACCGTAATGTAGTCTAATAATAACAAAGATAATGACAGTAATAATATAATAATAAGTAAATAGTAATATTATGTAATTTTGTTTTCAATATAATTATCAATATGATCAACAGTTAATACAAACTATTATTACTGATAAAAACAATTGTAAATAACTGTGTTACTATTGATATACAGTAGCCTATGGTAAATTAGATAGGTCTTACAGCCTTGTGTAAAATCCCCACCAAAGGTTTACTGAATAGAATGTGTCCTCCAATCCCCGCTTTATGGATGGTGCACTGCAGACTGCAGAACACTGTCTGTGACTAGTACTGTATGATGGGGAACAGTGGGTCTAGCCTAAACACACCACTAGATGACAGCACTGTCTAACGAATTACTGGAAAAAATAGAAATATTCCCAACTCAATATCGCAAGGATGTGGACCGTCCCTTCCTGTTTTAGTACCGAGAGAGCCACCGTACCGAGACACATTGGAGCTGGAATACAGTCACTTATGACTCGATTATGGTTAGATTTCTGCTTATTTGATCAAATACAAGGTTATTTATTTTCCAGCGTGAGGTCTACAGTTATATTTATTAATGATGTCACGGCAGCGTTTCGTCTTATTAGGTAGCTAGATAGTCTCATATTTATTATTGCGCTGCCAACCCTTGTTCCTTTCCTGTGTCAATGATTGTCCTATCCTCACTCTTATGGCGGAGACTAAAATAATATATCACATTGACGAGGAGGAGACTCCTTATCTAGTGAAATTATCAGTTTCTCCTGAGAAAGTCACTTTAGCGGATTTTAAAAATGTCCTCAACAATCGTCCAGTCAATAGCTACAAATTCTTCTTCAAATCCATGGACCAGGATTTTGGGTAAGAAGCCACCCATGAATAGCCTATATTTTATTCCTGTGTATGTTGCAGTCTTGTTATTGTTATCATAGAAGTATAAACGTAGCTCAGCCCTAATTGGTTATTACACAGACACAACCATGTGTCCAATTTCACAACAAAGGTTGCAACATTCTAACATTTGCGCAAGACTGGTTGTGTCATGTCTGATCCGCAGTTGGCACCTGTTCATTGTATCCAATGCGCAATAGAATAGGTCCTTTGAAGTTCGGACCCGTAACACCAATATCCCATAGGACATTAAACGCGATTACGCTTTTATTGTTGTCGATGTTGGTTATAGGCTACTGTAGTCCACACAAAAGTTATTATATCTCATTTCGAAGGTTGTGCTGTGTTGTCATCGTCATGTAGTAATAAGCCCATCTAACTTGATGATATAGATGTTACGTTGACAAATCCTCCACATGTTTACTGTGTGGCGCGAGTTCGGGATCGATTCCAAATGAATTATTGCCAGACATGTTTCTCTTGTGTGTTCATGACTTTGTAGCACTTATGGCAATAGGGAATAAACAGAAAGAAGCGAAGGAAAAGCAGAATAGAGATTGATGCCGATCGAAAATGGTCACATATTAACTGTAGCCAATCATGATTTTCAGGAGACAATCATCAAATGTGACTGCATGACTATATGATGAGAACTTTGACATATATATGTCATGTTAATCTTATTTGATTTAATGGGATAGGCTAAACGTAATCCGATGCGTCAAATAGGCATCCAATGGACTGAAATTGTCACAGTAGGGATCCTGTAGCCCTCTCATGTCCCTCTGTTTTACACGCACAGACGAGCACGCGCACGAATACACACGCATACACACGCACAAAGGTAATTTCCTCCGATTCTAGGCAGAAGGTTAATCAAGCGAACATACATTTTCATGGAAATCATAACGCGCCGTATGCTCGCCATACATGTTATATAACGAATGGGTTGAACAGCCAAAAGCTCACTCTTCGTTGTTGGGATTTTGCACATTTTCTGCCATTTTGCCATGCGACCGTAGGCCGCAAATCAGCTGAAAATGCCTGAGTAGAAACATGGCTGCCCGGTAGAAGAGCACTCCCAGAAAGAGGCGAGTGCCGTGGACTGACGGCCTGCAATAATTGTCAAATAGCACTAAAAATCGCGCAAACCTTTTTTATTGACAAACATCATGTAAATCAGTCGAACAAGCTCAGCTGGTCAACACCAATACTCTATTGAACATTAAATGTAATTAATAACGCGTATTTTAATTACCATTGTCACTTAATAGTTCTGCCTATTGTCCTGTGAATGTACACTACAGTTCTATTGGCCAGTAGATGGTCTGTGGTTAGTGGTAGCAATTAGTGAATTGCATTGTTGCCTGTCAGACATTTAATTTATATTCACTGATATCAAATAAATGATAGTCTGATTGGTTAGATGTTAAACATGATTTTTCACACGTTAGCCTACAGCCTATTTTCACTGATATTTTATTTTACTGTACAAGGGATTTATCCTCTGTTCTTTCAAACGGTCTAGTATTTAGAAGTAATGCAGGATACATTCATGAATAATTCACCATAGGCCTACATGCAATATATAAGTATGTTTTTATTCTTAGATGTAGTATTTCCTCTCACCCTTTTCATTGCACTCAGTATTATGTTGTCATCGCTCAGTCTTTCTGCACAGACAGATCTCCCCAGACAGGCAGCTAGGTCTATAGAGATGGTAATATTTTCTTGTTATGGTCCTGTTAATAGAATGTTTGACCTCTCCTTTCCCCCTCTCCCTGACCCCATACATTCAGACAACATGGACACCTTTAATAGCTGTAGGTCAGAGGTTCACTTATTATAGAGTCATGCTTGGAGGATGACATATTTGTGTTAATGTCTGTTTCTCCTCTGACAAGCTGTCACGCACAGTCACACACACAGCACACATGGCACCACATGCACTCAAACACACGCGCACAGGCGCAGACACACAGGGGCACACACACACACACACACAGGCATAACTCTGTAGAAGACCTGACTCCATCTGGTGTGAATATGATTGTATTTCCCTTATTTGGTTTGAGTCATCACATTAACATTGACTCATTCTGAAACCTATTATCTTAGTCAGTGACTAATTAATTTAGCTTTATTCCATTTACCAAAAGGTGCTATTGTTTCCAGTTATTCTACTTTTGAAGATGTTTTGAGGCGATTTCACAGCCAAACTGTATTTAGTACAACACTATCATAAACATCAGAGGAAGAAACCCACACACAGAGAGACAGGCAGTCCTCTGTCTCTAGCACAGGGACGTCATATCGTCATGTCAGACATTCCCACAGCAGGCAGCACGACCTTGTGAGGGAACTGTTTTTCCCTGGTAGCAGGTTAGTTAGTTGGGTCTATACTGTGGCCTCAGCAGGGCCTTCCTGTCCTGTCCCTGTCCCTCAAGTCACAGCCAGGGCAGATTGACCCATGGGACCCCAAGTGAGGGGATCCACCATCTGATTATGGAAACAAATACAACATGTTTGTTCTAAAGAGTTACAGTTAGGGTTAGACCTCCACGTTACGGATTTCTGTTCTTGATTGCAGTGCAGTGTTAGGCCTAGTGCCATGGTCCACCTTCCACAAGGGCCAGTGCAGTGGTGGTATTGGTCTTGTCATTTCAATCAACAAATTCCATGGCTTGATAATTGTAGCATTGTTAAAGTAGATAAGTAGGCTACACTGAAAATCGCATGTGCAAGTGAAATCCTTGAGCAGCGTTGTACTCAGGGTACTGGCTGTATGCAGTATGGGAACAACACAGCCGGTCAGGGACACATAGAGGATAATATGGCTGGTGTACTGCATAGACACAGACAGTATAGCTGTTAGAGAAATTAACTAGGGAATAATAAGACTCCAGTAGAGAGGGAAAACATGGAATCCCTTGCAGTTATAGACAGTGTTTGATATGTAAATGTTCAGTCAGTGCAAGGTCTTACATAGAAGACACCCTGTTGTGAAGGGGAAGCAAGCAATTTTTTATTTCATTGTAATAAAATTATAGATTTGTGCTGATAATACCAGGATTAGTGAATGTGGACTACATGGAATTTATGATTTTTTTGTCCAGAAAATGTATTTAGTCCATCTGTGTATGATTATGCAAATATATTTTTTGCTTATATCTCGTGAAATATTGTGTGTCTGTAATTTCCAGTTGAAGCATAGATTTGTGTAGGATAGAATGTAAATCTGGGTTGCTGTTGAGTTTTTATCCCACACTGTCCTGACAAAAGACTGCATTATAATGTTGTTCAACCACATACAAATGCCGGCCAATACCGTAAATGCACAATTCGAGAGCTTTGAGGTTGATATCATAGAGATCCTATTAAATTACTGTTCGTATTCTAATTCCTAATTCTATGGTTGATATGCTGTTTTGTCATGGCAACGGTTGAGCTGTTTGTTTGAGACCTCAGTAAAACCTTTGTCATAAAGGATCACTGAAGGTAATGATATAAGGAAAGGAAGTAAGTGCTCTTGGCATGAATGAGGATACTCAGCTGCATATGGAGGGTCAAATCTGCTGTTTTTCCACATGTGGTACCTCTACCTCACTTGAAATGTTAATGTTGTTATTATTACAGTACAATAACTTGATATGTTTAAGATCCTGAGGTTTCAGGAATAGCACTGAGCTAAGGTTGAAGAACTGATCCTCTTGAATAATTAAATACATTTTCATTCTAATTTTAATCACAAATATTTTGTGCACTGTTGTGGCGAGTGAAAGCTTTGGACTATGGGCCTGCTGTGTACAGCCGGCTGGTCGGTCGCCCCTCCTGACCCTGTGCTGTTGGGCAAGACTATAACTAGCTTTCCTCCTGCCCTGGGCATAGTTAAACTCCTCTAATTCCTACAACACACACACACACACACACACACACACACACACACACACACACACACACACACACACACACACACACACACACACACACACACACACACACACACACACACACACACACACACACACACACACACACAGCCAGCCAGCCCTGCCTTACCGTGGCCCACCACTACATTATGCAGCAATCTCCCTGTAAATCTTGTGTCATTATCCTGTGAAATCTGTTAAGACTTGTTTAAGCTGCCGGCTTTGAGAAGTGAGAGTTGTGATGACGGAAACCCAGTGTCTGACACGTGTCCCATTTTAAACTGAGCTCTCCTGTGTGTGTGTCACCTACCCACTTGGGCACAGACGTCAATTCCATGTCTATTCCACGTTGGTTCAACGTAATTTCATTGAAATGACTTGGAAACAACGTTGGTTCATCCAGTGTATGCCCAGTGGGTAGCTACTGGAAGTATTTCTGGGGATCTCGGTGTAGAAAATTCAGTTTGAATATGAAAGTATGCATGCAGAAAAGTCATGGTTTACAGAGTGCACATCATTTTGTTTCCTTTGGACGTGTGTCTGGATTCCTTTGGTTTTAATGCTTTTAACAGAGAGAGAGGCAGAGAGAGCGAGTGAGAGGCAGAGAGAGAGAGACTGAGAGGCAGAGAGAAAGAGAGTGAGAGAGAGATTGTTACAATTCATGTTGTATCTAGCTTATTTTATCAACTTATTACACTAAAACAGGATCCTTGACCACTAATTTACCAATATGATGTTAAATTTGGAACAGGATTAAATTAGCACTGCTAATAATATATCAGAGGCCCATCCCAAGACCTTAGGAGTTAAAAAGCGCTGACTTTGACTATAGGCTATTTGTTTGTATTGACCGCTCCCACATCCTCCTAAGTTACCTTCAGTTGGTCATGTGGCTATAGACAGAGGATGTATACACTTCCTACCAAATGATGAGAATCACACCCCCTCTTCCTCTCTGTGGTGGAACAGAACAGGCCACACACACAGCAGCATTCTGTCTCTGTGTTAGTCAGTTCCAGCCACAACTGTACGTTATCTCTCTCTACCACTCCCACAGTACAGTACAGTATAATACAGCCGCAACAGGACACAGTCACTCGCTGTCGTCATGTGAGTAGGAACTCACAAATCAATGGAGCAGCAGTTTCATAGAAATGCTGTATAAAGACTTCATCAGACGCTCTGTTGCTTTTCTTTCAAGTAGTCTCTTTGTCCTGTTCATGTTCCAGGACTCCCTGGAAAACAGTGAGTTGTTGCTGGTGGACTATCCTGGTTAGATAAAAGATAACCTGAACTGATCTTTTCAGAACTTTTCAGAATTCACACCTATATTATATTTTATTCTCCCACCTCTGAGATAGGCATAACTACAGCCCAGGACTGTAGCCCAGGACTGTAACCCAGGACTGTAGCCCAGGACTGTAACCCAGGACTGTAGCCCAGGACTGTAGCCCAGGACTGTAGCCCAGGACTGTAGCCCAGGACTGTAGCCCAGAACTGTAACCCAGGACTGTAGCCCAGGACTGTAACCCAGGACTGTAGCCCAGGACTGTAGCCCAGGACTGTAACCCAGGACTGTAGCCCAGGACTGTAGCCCAGAACTGTAACCCAGGACTGTAGCCCAGGACTGTAACCCAGGACTGTAGCCCAGGACTGTAACCCAGGACTGTAGGCCAGGACTGTAACCCAGGACTGTAGCCCAGGACTGTAACCCAGGACTGTAGCCCAGGACTGTAACCCAGGACTGTAGCCCAGGACTGTAGCCCATGACTGTAACCCAGGACTGTAACCCAGGACTGTAGCCCAGGACTGTAGCCCAGGACTGTAGCCCAGGACTGTAGCCAGGACTGTAGCCCAGGACTGTAGCCCAGGACTGTAACCCAGGACTGTAACCCAGGACTGTAGCCCAGGACTGTAACCCATGACTGTAACCCAGGACTGTAACCCAGGACTGTAGCCCAGGACTGTACCAGGCTGTACCCAGGCTGTATCACCAGGACTTACCATGACTGTAGCCCAGGACTGTAACCCAGGACTGTAACCCAGGACTGTAACCCAGGACTGTAGCCCAGGACTGTAACCCAGGACTGTAACCCAGGACTGTAGCCCAGGACTGTAACCCATGACTGTAGCCCAGGACTGTAGCCCAGGACTGTAACCCAGGACTGTAACCCAGGACTGTAACCCAGGACTGTAACCCAGGACTGTAACCCAGGACTGTGTGTCTGTGTGTTTGTGTATACCCTCGGCCTCCAGACCAGGCCTGCTCTAGTCTGTACTGTGTGACAGGAGCCCAGCAGGTGTGGCTGGTTACTGGCAGTGGTTGCTGCTGAACCCTGTCCCAGGGGTCAGAGGGTAACTGGGAAGTATTTTTGTAGGGAATTTACAGTCTAAGATGTAAATGCTGAAGTAGCCTCACACTCAATCACTCTATTAATACCGCACTGACTCCTGACACCCTGGCGGGTACTACCCTGTCCCTTTTTCAGGGCAACACAACCACTCTCACTATTCTAGGGCTGGGCTGGGTGGATAGGCACACTCTTAGAAAGAAGGGTTCCAAAAGGGTTCTGCGGCTGTCCACATAGGAGAACCCTTTTTGGTTCCAGTTAGAACTCTTTTGGGTTCCATGTAGAACCCTCTGTGGAAAGGGTTCCATATGGAACCCAAAAGGTTTCTACCTGGAACCAAAAGGGGTTCTTCAAAGGGTTCTTCTATAGGGACAGCCAATGAACCCTTTTTGGTTCTAGATAGCACCTTTTTTTCTAAGAGTGTAGGGGATAGCCTATATATTTGGAATTTGATATGATGACGATATGTACAGTTAATTGTGTGCACACGATAAATACAAATTCTATGTATTTCCCCAATGCCCAGACCTGTCACACATACACACATACACAGTGCACACACAGGTTTGCATCGTCTTCACTTTGCTGTTGATCTATGTGCTTGTCCATGTAATGTTTCTGCACTAATATCATGTTGTTGTACTTAGTCAGGGCCATTAATCACTTATGGAGGATGAGGCTCAACATCTATCTGCTTTCAATGGACTTAGTCAACAGTAACATGGGGTGCCGAGCCCGTTACGGTCGAAAAGTGGAACATTCTACTGATTAAGCATGAATCACTTGCAGTATGCTCATCTGTGCAGAGCAGGGCAGGGTAGTAGAAATGATTCCTGGGTGTTAGGCTAACAACTGTGTGCTGAGGACTGACTCTCTCTCTCTCTCTCTCTCTCTCTCTCTCTCTCTCTCTCTCTCTCTCTCTCTCTCTCTCTCTCTCTCTCTCTCTCTCTCTCTCTCTCTCTCTCTCTTTTTCTCTGTCTGCGCGTGTGTGTGTTTGCGTGTGTGTTTGCCTGTCCATTCCACAGGGTTGTCAAAGAGGAGATTTCCGACGACAACGCCAAGTTGCCCTGCTTCAACGGGAGAGTGGTGTCCTGGGTGAGTGAGATGAATGGCGCCCCCGCGGCGTCGCCCCCTGTCCCATAGCTCCCCTCCCCGTCCCATTGCTCTTCTCTCCACCTCGCTGCGGCTCGTTGGCTCAGCGGTAGCAGAAGATACGTGTAGCGTTACGCTCCATATAGTGTATCTACCTAGAGAGATCACAATAGCACGCCTCCACAGTGCAACACTCGAAGACTCTACAGCATGGAAAGATTCACTTATTGTTGAGCTTCTATGCATAGTGCCTTATACAGGTATGAGCTAAGCCAATGGGAGATGAACCAAGGCATGGTTACACAACGACATCACAACACTGTCCAGGCTGGACAGTTTTACTAGCAATATCATACAGTATCCTACCAACAAATTAGGTCAGTTAACAATGATTTACATTGGGCCTTGTCACAAGTCTAACATAGGCCTACATAATGATACGAGACACAGGTTAGTTTGGTATAGTTGTACATAGTGCTAGTAGCAGTGATGCATACATTATCATGACAGGCTGTACGACATGCCATTCCTGTGAATGATGTCTCGATGACATGCTGTGACGAGGTGATTTACTGTATCACCATCAGGAAACAAAGTCAACTATAACATAGCAGAGTGATTGAACAAGAAAAGTATGGTAAGAGTGGTCCAAAAAATTAAATTAAAATAATTTGTAGTCAGTGTGCCTAACAATCCTCAAAACACAAAAGCTAGATGAAAAGTAAAGTATTGCAAACTCTAAATAGATATTTCTATAAAATGCTGCATTTTATATGAGGTTTTCCCAGTGTCTTAATCATGTTCCAGTGTTATTAGATTCTCCCTCTGGCATGTTCCTTTAACACTCATTATTATGGTTCAAATGAAAGCAGAGCAGCTGTATCTATGGGCCATTTTACATAAGCCTTTGTGCTCACACGCACACACAGTCACCAGTGTGAAAGCAATGTGAGCTGCGACGTTCCCTCTGTTTCCCAATGTATTTATGCATAGCCACCAGCTTTCCTCAGGCCCCTTCGATGCATCTCATTTAATACAGTATCTCTCTTTTATGTCTCTCAGATAGTTATCTTATGTCTGTTTTTGTGTATCTGTGTCTGAATATCTGTTGTGTGTCTCTGAGTCTCTCTCTATGTCTGTTTTTGTGACTGAATATGTTTGTCTGTCTCTTTGTCTGTAGCTCTTTTCCAGTCTGATTCTATGACTGTCTCTGTGTGTATGGCTATGTGTTTGTTTATCTCTATTTTCAAATGTGTCTCTGGTATTTTGTCTCTGACTCACCCCTCTCTCTCTCTCTCTCTCTCTCTCTCTCTCTCTCTCTCTCTCTCTCTCTCTCTCTCTCTCTCTGTGTGTGTCTGCAGCTGGTCCTGGCAGAGAGCTCTCACTCTGATGGGGGGTCCCAGTGTACAGAGAGCCACCCAGAGCTGCTACCCCCCCTGGAGAGAACAGGGGGCATCGGTGACTCCCGCCCACCCTCCTTCCAGTGAGTACATGGCACTGGCTCCATATGTGTCCCATTGCACATAAACACCATGCACACATCATTACACAAATTACACACACAAGTACACACGCACACACACACACACACACACACATGCACCATGTCACCTTTCTAATTCTCTGCAAGCCATATGCTAATCAGAATCTGGAGAGCTCATCACAGAGATTCAACCCACACGGGGGCCAAGCCGAGTGCACACAGGAGTTGGAGTTGCGTGTGTGTAGGTGGGTGTGTAAGTGTGTAGGTGTGTGTGTAAGTGTGTAGGTGTGTGTGTGCCAGGGTTCACGCTAGCAAACTCTCGCTTACCATGCTCACCAATGAAGTGGCTGCCCTCCCATCCGTGGGGAAGCGCGTTAGTCGGTCTGCTCATCTATGTAGCTAGCTAAGCTTCCTCAAAGCGGCTCCAGAAATAGCCATGATAGGGTAAACATCTTCAGGGAGAGACTGCTGCCATTGAATGCTTCCTATTAGTGTTGAGACACTAAAAGCACCAATCCAGCCTAAATTAATAGTGATGCTAGGTAGCCTTAGCTAGCGCTACACTGCTATCTAGAACCTAAAAGGGTTCTTCGGCTGTCCCCATAGGAGAACCCTTTGAAGAACCCTTTTTGGTTCCAGGTATAACCCTTTTGGTTCCAGGTAGAACCCTATTGGGTTCCATGTAGAAACATTTCCCCAGAGGCTTCTACATGGAACCCAAAAAGGGTTCTCCTATGGGGACAGCCAAAGAACCCTTTTGGAACCCTTCTTTTCTAAGCGTGTAGTCGGCTGTACCTGCGCCAAAACCCCAGTATGTTTCATCCTATAGCTTGTTCTCCATCTTCTTTTTAAATAGCAAGCCAACCTGTTTTCAGCACTGTTATTTCCATGACTGATCAAAACTCATTTTCTCATGCTTTCTCTTCTTTCTGCAGCAGACATATGCAGAGCAATATGTTGGAACATTAAATCACAATATCGAATCGCAATACATATAGAATCATGAGAATCGCAATACATATTGTATCGGCACCTACGTATCGTGATAATATCGTATCGGAAGGTCCCTGGCAATTCCCAGCCCTACCAGTTAAGAGTTAATAAATATATATTATGAGGTCAGACAATGTGTGGTGTTATTACTACATCGATGGGTTAAAAGCTTAGGCGCAAACTCCACTTCTCAAATCTTGTTTGACCCTTATGCAAGCACTAGACTTTGACTTCAAACAGACTGATTAAAGATTCTCACTGCACTTGTTAAGAGAGAAACCCCCAAAGCCAAATTTAACAGGAAATGCTGTGGGCCCTGGGCTGTGCTGGAGTTGTTGTTGCCATTATAGCAGTGTGTTAGCTTCTGCAGGGGTCTGTATTGAGAGCATGCAATCTGTCATGTTCCAGTATCTCTTTATCTACTGTTTGACATCCTGGCTTTTTTTGCCCTCTGCGGGCTGCTGCTCCCTGCTGCTTGGCTGTCAGCCTGCCTGATGATTTTATTGTTCGGGCCTCCTCTCTTCCTGCTGTGTCTACTGCCACCTTGTGGTCCAATATGAGCATGTCAGCTCGGCTCCCACACTACAAGGATTTAGCTTTCCTCTTTCTCCCCCCTTCACTTTCTCTCCCCTTGCTCTCTCTCGCTCCCTCTCCCTCTCTTTCAGACAGGCAGTCTTTTTTCTCTGGTCATGAATAGGCCTATGGTGAATTCCCCATAGTGAGCTTCTGTCATTCTCAAAACCTCAGCCTCATTCTGAAAATAGCCAGAATATTATTACCAGTTCATTTTGTTATTGTGCTTTATTCATGTATTTCATGGATCCATTCCTGTATGAATGGCTGTGTTTGATGGAGGATAGAATAGATAGAATAGGTGTTTGGGCTGAGTGTGGTGCAGAGCAGGCAGAATTAATGTGCTTCTGCCTGGTAATCCGGATTAGCGGACACCCATCTCTGTTTCCCGGGGGGGGGGGGGGGGGGGGGGGGTGATGATAGGGGTTAGCGGGGTGGGGGGAATCACAGCTGCAGCACCCCATCCCCCTCTCCCAACCCAGCCTCCCTCCCTTGGTAATCTCACACAGGATCAACCGACACAGGCGATCAGCCTACCCCCTACCAGGCTGGACTGCTGCCATAGACACACAATATCCACACCACACTAGCCAATCCCTGCCATAGACAAATAATATTAACATACTGCCCCATCCATGCTTTATCCCTGCCTGAGACAGATAATAACCACTAGCTACAGACACAAAATGCCTCACCTGATCTATACCAGTGACTAATACAGTGTGTGTTTTTGCACAATGTAAGCATTAGCATACATATTTTGACCTGTTCTGGAGAGGCACAGATGCATCATTACATTCAGATGTAGAAACATGTTTACCCTTCATCCCTCTGATTGAGCATGGCACAGCCGACCACAGCTTGTCTACGCCTGTGTTGCTACTAGTGGTCCTCTGTAGCTCAGCTGGTAGAGCACGGCGCTTGTAACGCCAGGGTAGTGGGTTCGATCCCCGGGACCACCCATACACAAAAAAAATGTATGCACGCATGACTGTAAGTCGCTTTGGATAAAAGCGTCTGCTAAATGGCATATTATTATTATTATTATTACTATGTATATATTTGTTGTTAATGTGCATGCGTCAGCCCATGGCTCCTAAGGCTGATGAGATGGCAGCTTTTATACCCTGAGGACCATACTGCATGAGTTACTTACTGTGTAGTCGTGTACTTGTGTACCTACGTATATGAACACTAGTGTGCGCATGCGTTCGTGTTTCCCGTGTGCGTTCATGCATGATGCATGCATGTATAGGTCCAGTACATCCCTGAGTGTGTATGTGCAGAGAGAGAGCAGTGTTCAGCAGGCTGGGTTGGTTGAGTTGTGTTTCTCACCAGCTTCAGGTTTCCTTGGTGTCTAGTGGTGGGTGGGTTTTACCCTGCTACCCTGAGGCTAAAGCCTCTCACCCCCTCTGATAGGATAACCTTCCCTCCAGCCCTGTACAGTATGAGATGTGTCCCAGCTCAGCCCACACCTGCTCTACCGGTCCCACACACACACACAAACACGCACACCCCTTCACCCTCCAACCTCCACCCTGCCACAGGCATCATCTGGGCTTTCAATGGCCCTCCTCATTAGTACCAGGCAGCATTGGACAGAATGCATCCCTCTCAGGGTATCTGGTCATTAATGACACTTAGTGAAACACACATCACATACCACACCACAACAACACATCGCTCATGGCCAGAGGGACTGAATTTGAAACAGAGTCATAATTTGTAATAGAATAAATGTGGCAAAAACAAATGAAGACATTAATAAGTGCGTTTCTATAGCTTCCAAAATATTTTGTACAATGGTGGGGGAGTGCCAAGATGGAGGCACAGTGGCTTCAACACAGCACCCCCTATTAGTCATCTAGTGTATATATAAATCATTGGTTTCATTGTGGATCTACAGTAATTAAACATTTTGAATGTGTGTATTTCAGTGCCAATGCGGTGAGCAGTCGGGACGGCCTGGACACAGAGACGGGCACAGAGTCCCTCCTGAGCCACCGTAGGGAGAGGGAGAGAGAACGTGCACGGAGGAGAGCACGAGAGACTGAAAGTGAGTAACAATACACACATGATTGGGATAACTACCTAAGTACAGTATGTATATCATATCAGTATATCAGTATATCATTACACATCATTTTAGCAATATACCTCACACTGCTGACATTGTTCAGTAACACCCCGAAAGGGTGGACTGTAAATCATGTCTAAAACAAATCAGAGGGTTCACATCTTCTGGTGACAGGTAAGTGGAACAGTTTGACCAAGATTGCTTTCAGCACTCTCTCTCATTCCCAAGACACCAATCTTTTTTTTTCTTAAGTGGGGTTCAGGTTCATGGGCAGAGGCTATTTTCATTTTAGTCATTTAGCAGACACTCTTATCCAGAGCAACTTACAGTTAGTGAGTGCATACATTTTCATACTGGCCCCCCGTGGGAATCAAACCCACAACCCTGTTGTTGCAAACGCCATGCTCTACCAACTGAGCTACACGGGACTAGTTTCCACCTGATAGTTTAACCTCAGGATCTGTGGGAGGACTGTTCTTCCTATTATGACCATGTATGGAGTATAGCAGATGAATGGGTGGTGGATGGATGGGCCCCCCCCAAAAAAAAAGTATAGCACATGTAGCGTTAGAGCTGCCTCTTGGTTACTGTGAAAATCTGAAACCAGCTTTGTATGTTTTTGCTATTGGGAAAGTATTCAAAGAAACAATTCTTTGTTGTTGCATATTTTATCCTTACTGTATGTACACATAGAGTATCGTGAATAATGGACATGGGAAAATGTCAGTAAACTCATGAGTCTTGGTTAAGAAGAAATACTCTTCATTTGTTGTTACTGTCATGGAAACATTTTCGCACTGAGCTCAGCAAAGAGTTGTAAGAAGGTCACTTGGAGAGGAGGGGGGCTTCCTCAATCCTCCTTCAGGGACATTCCTCTCATCCCAGCATTCTATTGTACAGAGAGTAACTAAGCACATTACATGTCATGTCTCTTTCTACACTCAGAATGAATGTTTGCAGTGTAGTGCTTTGAGAAATACCAGATTTTAAGATGGCACTTCGGACAATATCATTATTAGCAAGCCTGATTCTTCCAATGATAATAGTCACTCCTCCTCATATCCACCCTTATTCCTGTTTATACACTACTCCTGGATCTGGTTCAACAGTGTGATGATGTTGGTGTCTATATTTTCCATTCAACAACTACTGTAATGTGTCAGCCTACAGTCTCTGCTGTCTGTCACCCCTGTCTGTTTCTCCTCCATCCACCCACAGCAGATAGAGTCAGAGCCAGTCCTTTATCTCTTTATCTTATCACTCCATCTCTTCCTCCCCTGATCTGCTGTTCACAGCGAGCCTGGCTGTGTGGATCCTGCAGCTCCAGGCTCATTAACCAAATACTCATTCATTTATGTGGCTTAATTAGGATGAGCAGGATAAAGCATCAGGCTGGTTGGTACTGTAGAGACGAGAGAGCTGTAATGTCTATGTGTAATACATGAGCATGTGTGTAGCTGTTGTCCTACTGGGAAACAAACTACTATCTCTTCTCCTCTCAATACAGCCTTTGTTTTTATAGTCGCTCTGTTAAGTTCTGATTTGAGAAACTGAAAATATGGCTGTGTGTCATGTCCCTGTAGCCCTCTCTAGAAATAGCAGCCAGTAGCAGACCCTCTGTTGAAGGAGTAATAATCTCTCTCTCTCTCTCTCTCTCTCTCTCTCTCTCTCTCTCTCTCTCTCTCTCTCTCTCTCTCTCTCTCTCTCTCTCTCTCTCTCTCTCTCTCTCTCTCTCTCCCCTCCCTCCATCTGGTTTCATTGCCTGGCGGCCTGCTAGTTAGTTAGTGCTAATTAAATGAGAGTGTCAGAGAAGAGGGCATGTCCCTCACGGTGAACACAGTGCTTCATGGCTCATAAAACGCTGCCCTACACTGCTCAATATAATCCAATTCAATTAGGCATTATTTGTTTAGGGCTCTTTATACAATGCCATGGTAGTCACTCAATCTGTGTCCTTGACTTAAAGGCCCAGGACTATCCAGCAACATGTAAAGTTATCCTGCCTGGCCCTGCAGCAGTAGTATAGCAGGAATTCCCCTCTTTCTTTAAGTGCCACTGTGTCTGTGTGAATGCAGCCTGCTTTACAATGAACAGAGCAGGGTGAATCAGTGTTTTAACAGAGGTAAACGTATCCCTTGTTCTCTCATTTCTGGTTGTAGGTATGTGAGAATGAATGGATGAATAATGCAGTGTTTGACAAGGTGAGGAGAGTGGACAGGTGTAGATTGGGCCCACAGGACACTGTGGAGGTATGGGAGAGGATCTGTTTCAGGGCCACAGGCGTTTTAGCTCTGCTACCTGCACTGGGAGATGAGGGGGATAGGAGATGAACTGACACCCCTGTCTGTCTGCCTGGCTATATCACGCTATGGGTTTGGCAGGACTATTTTGACACCTACAATAGGTGTATTGACTTCAGAGTGGTCTTACTCTTCACTGTATAATAACCTAATCAAAATGTAGGCAGCAGTAATGCAGAATATTTCTATTCAATTAAAATGTATAGAGGTCAAATGAGCATTGCTAAATGTTTAAGATGCTTGGAACCTAGTGTTTACCAACATTTTAAATTTAAACATTTGCTATTATGTGAAATGTATTGTGACGAAGGGAGAGCTCGAGCTTCGTACTGCTGAGAGGCTTTGGCGCCGTTAATCACCTGATGTCACCATCACCTGTGGCGGTTAGAGATATGCTCGTGCACCATATCAAATCCCATCAAATGCTGGGCTTTCGCTCCGTGCTTTGGAATGCAGTTCTCAGAGAGGGATTATCAGACACTCAGTCGCGTGCCATGGGATGGGAGTGCGGGGTAATATTTTTGCGCTACCAGTTCGTTCAGTTTCTCAGTGCGTCACACGACAGCACTGTCTCGCTGATCTGACTCTCGCGGTTGAGGTAAAATAATCAAATTTGCTAATGGAATCGCTGTATAGCGTAGTTTGTAGTCCACTGGCTGTTAAATGGTAGATACATGTGATGGAATTAAATGATATAGGTGGTTTTATTTTAGGTTTATGCAGGTTATTGTCTAACCTCTTCAGTAGTAAATTAAAAGGCTATCTGTAGCCTACCTGTTATTATGTGTTAAATTATTTTGGCAATTTTATATTTTGCAATGCTAGTAAAGAAATCCATTCTAGATATGGCTGAACGAGGAAGCAACTATTATTATCATCGTCCAGCTGCTGAAAACAATCTATAGATGGGCTACCTTTTATGCAAGTATTTATTGTCCTATTGTGTAGGCTACATTCTATTGAAGAGTTTGACTGTTTTGTTAATGGAATAGCCTAAGTGAATGTATTTAAGACAGTCTAATAGATAGCGATCATAATGACTTATTATATCCTACTTGAGCACCCACCTTATCATAAAACCTTAATTTTAGCAGATAACATATGATATTCCCATCCCTCATGATAATTACTTTATGGCTCTAAAATAATTAAATGAAAAAAATAAAAATCTGATTTTAAGAATGGGGGATAGAAAAATGCCTGCTTTGACACTAAAGGCTTATAGTTCACAGCACAATGTCCCAAAATAGAATAGGTTTGATTTAATGTTTTTTGTATTGTTTGGTCAGTGAGTATAGTAGCAGATGACATGTCAATTAATCAGGTGTAAGCATACCACAATGCCCAGGACTGTAAAAGTCAGACATTTGCAGAATTTGAATACGTCAAGATACCTTGCTGTCACTGACTGTGATGAGCAAAAAGGAGAAAATATTATGTTGAGTGATTGTGTTATCTCTCCTCGATTCACAGTATCTTTCTCCAAATTCACTATTTTCTTTTGGTCTTTTTCCACTGCCTTCGTTGTAGATAAGGATTGGAGTCTGCCTGCCGGCAGCCTGTCATTGGGCAGAGAACCTGGTCCCTCTCACAGGGGTTGAGAGACAGACAGGTGCTGGGAGAGAGGGGACAGAGCATTACACAGACACCAGACAGTCTCAGTTTTGCTGCTGTTTAGTTGTGTGTGTGCGTGTGTGTGTGTGTGTGTGTGTGTGTGTGTGTGTGTGTGTGTTGTTATATATCCCGGGATGAGGATTGTACTGCTCTTCTGAAGAGAGTGGTTGTATGTGTGTGCGCCCTTTGGGCTCAGTCAATAATGGGCTCAGTCAGTAATGGGCTCAGTCAGTAATGGGCTCAGTCAATAATGGGCTCAGTCAGTAATGGGCTCAGTCAGTAATGGGCTCAGTCAGTAATGGGCTCAGTCAGTAATGGACACCACCACATTATTGGAATGTTTTAGTTGCTCGCGGAGAACGCAGGGTCAGCCACGCCCTCGCCGCTTTGCCAGAGCCTTCCAGCCAATCCGCTGTCACCCTGCTGAGACAGGACCCCTCCCCTGCCACTGTACGTATTGGGGGTAGATGTGGGAGAGAGGTGTTGGGAATTTGGGACACTGATGTTATTGTTTTGGTAGATCACTGTCTTATTAAGAGGTAGCTCTTATCTGCCACTGCCCACTGATAACACATGAGCTGAAGTCTATGGTATCATATTTGATGATAAACTGCATAATTACAACTGCATAAAGATGTTCTTCACAAGTCCACTGAAACCTTTGTTTGCCATACCATCACATACAGTATAGGTACAATGCCATGTTTGCCACAGGACTGCCTTCTGTAATAGTGAATCACTAGTAAATGCCTCCTTGGCCCAGTTGGTCTCTGATATCCTCCTGTATTGAGGATATTTTGAGCTTTTTCATCAGCCGAGTGCTCCGGTTGGTAATCCCTTCTCTCTTTCTCTGGTGCTTTCTAGACTGGCCTTTTAACCTCTTCTAAATCTTTGTCTTGGTTTCCGATTAGATGTCCTCATAGTGTCCTTAATACTAATCTTCTCTGGATGGTTTCCTATAACATTTGGAAAATATTTCTCGCATCATTTCTATATCGCTGTCTGTTGACATCTCCCACTCTCAGCTCAGAGTTGTCTTTCACTGTGTCACTTTTATGCCATTTAGCAGATGCTTTTATCCAAAGCGTCTAATAGTCATGCGTGCATACATTGTCATGTATGGGTGGTCCTGGGATTAGAACCCACTATCATGGCGTTGCAAGAGCCGTGCTCTACTAACTGAGCTACAGAGGACTACCGTGGAGTGTTGATATCTGACTGTGTTGATATCTGACTGTGTTGATATCTGACTGTGTTGATATCTGACTGTGTTGATATCTGACCTGTTGTTTTGTGGTTGTCTTCTCTCCAGTCCCTCGTATCAACGGCCACTCTAAGTCGGAGCGCACAGCGAGGGACTCTGCCATGGGCTACGACAGTGCCTCAGTAATGAGCAGTGAACTAGAGTCCAGCTCCTTCGTCGACAGTGAGGAAGATGAGGACGCTAGCAGGTAGATGCTTCCTCTCACTCTCGCTCTCTCTATGTCATCTTCCTCTCTTTTCATCAGTGGTTCTTTACAACAACAAAATACCATATCCCCTCTGACCTCTTCCCTTTTCCTGCTCCAGGGGTGCTGCCCTGCGGCTGACCCTGTGCTGCTCCCAACCTGCAGTGTATGTTGTGTGGTGGGGCTGGGCACTGTTATGTAAAAGAAGAAAGATAGTCGCACACTCTATATATGCTCCCAATTATTTAATGTTTAAACACCAATGTTTTAGCACACAGTGCCTTCTTCAAGGTTTCCCTTGTTTCTGTATCATGGACCAATGTATATTGTATTGTGTTGTGTCTTAGACTCAGCAGCTCCACAGAGCAGAGCTCGTCCTCTCAGCTGATGCGCAGACACAAACGCCGCAGACGGAGGCACAAAGTAGCCAAAATAGACCGGGTGAGTTCCCCTCAAAGGTTTTACTACGTCCCATGTGCATGTGAAAAAGAAAGAACCAGAATGGTTATGTGAATATGTCTGTGACTGTTTTATTTGCTCATTTACTTTCTTCCTCCTTCCTTTCCAGTCTTCGTCTTTCAGCAGCATCACCGATTCCACTATGAGTCTCAACATCATCACTGTCACACTCAACATGGGTAAGGCTTTCCCCTTTTTAATGTATCTCTTTTCTCTCTGACTCTTTCTTTTGTTCTACTAAGTATCATCAGAGTTCATATGTGTTTGATAAAGATATCATCAAGGTCCATTGACTGTAAACTGATTTATTTCTCTCTCTCTTCTCTCCTCCAGAGAAGTATAACTTCCTGGGTATCAGTATCGTAGGGCAGAGCAACGACCGGGGAGACGGGGGGATCTACATTGGCTCCATCATGAAGGGAGGAGCTGTAGCTGCAGACGGCAGGATAGAACCTGGAGACATGCTCCTACAGGTACACCCGCTATTAATGGGCCTAACATTTATTCTCTGTGTAATGTTGTAAAGTTATTCTATATGTTGCGTTCTGTGTGAGATATTATTTTGACCATATTTGTATGGTTTGTTGAGGGAATGAGCAAGTGCTTGCAAATTGGTTATAGATGTCCAGTGAAAAAGTTGCTTTGTGATTTCCATAGCATTACCAATGATGTTTGGATACAGTGTGTTTGACACAATGAATTGTAACAATAAGGGAAAGGGGAAACAGGTCCTGTGTTTCTGCCTGGCTTTGTTGTGACCTATTGACAACCATCTGAAATGGTCCTCATCACCTCCTTCCCCATAACCCTCTTTTCTACATGTTGTTTTTCTGCCTTTCCTTTTGCTTCCTGTTGTTAGTTCTCTTTGATGTCTGTATGGCTGGACTCAGACTAACCTCTCTGGCCACGCCTCCTCTTGTACACAATATACATGGTGGCTTATCAGTAGTTATTGTAGATCCAGCATATATTAACCCGATTTAATGTAGATCCAGCATGTATTAACCCGATTTATTGTAGATCCAGCATGTATTAACCTCATTTATTGTAGATCCAGCATGTATTAACCTCATTTATTGTAGATCCAGCATGTATTAACCTCATTTATTGTAGATCCAGCATGTATTAGCCCCATTTATTGTAGATCCAGCATGTATTAACCTCATTTATTGTAGATCCAGCATGTATTAACCTCATTTATTGTAGATCCAGCATGTATTAACCTCATTTATTGTAGATCCAGCATGTATTAACCTAATTTATTGTAGATCCAGCATGTATTAGCCCCATTTATTGTAGATCCAGCATGTATTAGCCCCATTTATTGTGGCTCCAGCGTGTTTTTCCACCCACTCATACATAAAGTATAAAGCTGCTTAGGATTTACTAGCTTTTATATGCGTCTGAAAGCACACTTGTGTGTATGTGTGTATGTCTTACAATAGTGCCCTAGAGAATTAACTTGTAGACTGCAGAGTCCTAAAGCACTTGTTTATTTTGTTTCTTTATTCACTTGTTAATTTTGCCCAACCACTTGTTCAATTAAAGACATGATCTGTGAACATGGACGTTAACTGTTTTGTTGTGTTCCCCAGGTGAACGATGTGAACTTTGAGAACATGAGCAACGATGACGCTGTGAGGATCCTGAGAGAGATCGTCTCCAAAACAGGGTAAGAACAGTACTGTGTTACAGTGCAGGATTGTTGGCGATAACCCAGAAAACATTTCAAGATATGTTAAAATGTTGCGTGTGAACACGGTCACAGGTCAGGTCAGACAGTCAAAGGACATGGCTATTGGGTATTTACAGGATTTAAAGCTGAGCAATGGTAAGACTCTGGAGTACATTAGCGTTATATTAGAAATATCAGTGATGCTGACCTCTGACTGGTTAGATTGGATAACAGTGGGTTTGTATTTTAAACAACTTCTGCATTATTGACTATTGTATAATACAGACTCATATTTATCTCCATAATCCTTGTAGTTCAACCAAACATTTCCTTTTCCCCCCTATCGTTTCCTCTTGTTCCTTTAACTACACAGGAGCTATAGAAGTGAGTAGAATGTATTTGTATTGTAACTGACGGTCTCCCCATGTGTCCTCCAGTCCTATTAGTCTTACTGTGGCCAAGTGTTGGGACCCGTCTCCACGAAGCTACTTCACCATCCCCCGGGGTAAGAAACTCACCGGTGTTCCACCAACAACAGGTTATTACCACTTACAAACAGGGTTCTCAAACTCAGCTGGAAACTCACTTTAGAAACTTTTGAAAAAACGTTTTGAAAATCTAAGTGTTTGTGCTTGTAAATTCATTTAGAGTAGAAGTTTGAGCACAAGTACTGGCTAACACAGTAGATGATGTGTGTGTGTGTGTGTTATGTTTGTGCAGCTGAACCAGTGAGGCCCATCGACCCTGCTGCCTGGATCTCCCACACAACCGCCCTGACCGGACCCTACCCACACTACGGTATGACCACAGTCACTCACACAAACTAATGCAATCACTAGACATAGCTGCACTCTCACTGTCCTAGAAAGACCACATACTGAATGTATTGTCACTCACTGTCTGTGAATGTGCTGTCTCAACCTCCTCTCCCCTTCAGAATTTGACGACTTGCCGTTATCTGCGAGTAAGACGGACATGTCAACCATCGTCAAGGTGATGCAGCTGCCTGACTCTGGTCTGGAGATCCGGGACAGGATGTGGTTGAAGATCACCATCGGCAACGCTGTCATCGGTGAGAGGGACTGGGGGACACGGACTACTACTAATAATATGCCATTTAAATTGAGTAAATTAAGGGTTTAAAGTTGGACTTGAAACAGCAATCACTTCCCTTACTGTTAAACTGTGATGTCTGTTGCAAGACACTTCCTTGATATTGTCAACATAACATCTACTTGCTTGATGTGGTGTAGTTAGTTGATGCTATCAATATTATAGTGCAATAGAATCCTATATGAGTGTGTGCTGTTGTAGTGCAGACTACAGTGTGTGCTGCTATGTCACGTGGTGGACTGGCTCTACTCGACATTGTGAGGTTGTGATTCAGATTACAGTCTTAAACAGTGTGTTGCTGTGTGTCGCTGTGCCAGGTGCTGACGTGGTGGACTGGCTCTACTCGAGGGTGGAGGGCTTCAAGGACAGGAGAGATGCCAGGAAGTATGCCAGCAGTCTGCTGAAACATGGCTACCTGAGACACACCGTCAACAAGATCACCTTCTCAGAGCAGTGCTACTACACCTTCGGAGACCTCTGCCAAAGTACTGTCACTGAGCCACTTTGACATTAATATATTATGTACTGTATTTTATAATTAGAGGTGAATTTTTACTTGTGTTAAGTGTAGTGTAGAGTCCAATGGCAGTGTGTTTTTTACCTGTCATGAGAGGGGCTACCTCATAGATGTCACTAACTCTCTCTCTCTGTCTGTCTGTCTCTCTCTCTTTGTCTGTCTCTCTTTCTCTATCTTTCGCTTCTCTCTCAGACATGGCGTCTCTCAACCTGAACGAGGGTTCCAGTGGTGGGGGCTCTGAGCAAGACACCCTGGCCCCCCTCTCTCCCCCTGTCACCAACCCGTGGCCCCTGGGGGGTCAGCCATTCCCCTACCCCCCCTTCCCCTCCGCACCTCCAGGCTTCCCTCCAGGCTACTCAGACCCCTGCCACAGTTTCCACAGTGGGAGTGCTGGCAGCCACAACAGTGAGGGTGAGTCTGCAGGTCAGGGCTGCTAACTCTAACACCCTCATCAATATGAATGGGTCAGAGTGGATGACTAATTTGACCATATATGTCACCACGTTACTTTTCATGACAGCTAATGTCAACTGTTGACAAAGTATTGTATTTAAATTCCATAAGGCATATGCCTGTTCAGGTTAGCCTGTTTGGCCTGCTAGGAAATTAAGTTGACATAAGATGTCACACGCACACAGATACATATTTATGTAATAGAGGGTGTTCTAAAATGGTCTTATATTGTCAAGGTCGATCATGATTCAACATGGTTCATGCAGAGGACAGCTCTTCAGTACTGGGTGTGTACACTAAGGACCTTATCCACTTATGGCTGATTATTACTTGCACGAAATGATCAAATGAGGTCCCACCCTCCCATCAAATCTTGAACTATATTTTGTTTGATTTCAACATGACACTACACATTACATTGCCCTGTTACACATTACATTGCCCCTTTGCCCACGGTTTGTAATTGTTCCGACATGGTACTGCACTGAGGGAGAGTGGCTGCACTGGCTGCACTGAGGGAGAGTGGCTGCACTGAGGAAGAGTGGCTGCACTGGCTGCACTGAGGGAGAGTGGCTGCACTGGCTGCACTGAGGGAGAGTGGCTGCACTGGCTGCACTGAGGGAGAGTGGCTGCACTGGCTGCACTGAGGGAGAGTGGCTGCACTGGCTGCACTGAGGGAGAGTGGCTGCACTGGCTGCACTGAGGGAGAGTGGCTGCACTGGCTGCACTGAGGGAGAGTGGCTGCGCTGAGGGAGAGTGGCTGCACTGGCTGCACTGAGGGAGAGTGGCTGCACTGGCTGCACTGAGGGAGAGTGGCTGGCCCCGTGTAGCTCAGTTGGTAGAGCATGGCGCTTGCAACGCCAAGGTTGTGGGTTCGTTTCCCAGGGGGGCCAGTATGAAAATGTATGCACTCACTAACTGTAAGTCGCTCTGGATAAGAGCGTCTGCTAAATGACTAAAATGTAAAAGTGTTATCAGGGTGGTGTGGTAATAACTAGTCTGTTTGGAGAATTGTTTAGTCTTTTGTTTTACATTTGTCATCGCATGCTGTGCTCTTCTGTCTTATTTCCAGCTTCTGTTCAAATCACTATGAAGTCAATCATCCAGACGTTGTCATTACATGCTTTTAGTCATCTCCCATTATTTCAAATTGCATTCACTCCTCATTGTCATGGAGAGTTCTGAATGGCAGAGAGGTGTGATACAGTAATGATACAGTTTCTTAGGGCAGAGGAGTGGTTAGGATGAATTATCAGTAGGACTGAGTGTATGCTTACATCTCTTATTTATCTTTTGCATAAGTAGTTTTATTCCGTTTGATATTTTGCTGTGTGTCTTGATTGACATTTGCAGTTTTTTTTCATTTGGAATTTCCAGGTGAGCATTTGTGGATATTCATCGTGTGTGTGTGTGTGTGTGTGTGTGTGTGTGTGTGTGTGTGTGTGTGTGTGTGTGTGTGTGTGTGTGTGTGTGTGTGTGTGTGTGTGTGTGTGTGTGTGTGTGTGTGTGTGTGTGTGTGTGTGAGAGAGAGAAACAGGACATTTGTTGGCGAGTATCTGAGTACATTTCATTGCTCTAACTCATCGTTCAGTGAGAGATCTGTAAAGTAAGTTAGGCTGCAGTTGGCTGGGTTGGGAGGTGACAGCAGTAGACAGGTTAGGCTGGGTTGGGAGGTGACAGCAGTAGACTGGGCTAGACAGGTTAGGCTGGGTTGGGAGGTGACAGCATTAGACAGGTTAGGCTGGGTTGGGAGGTGACAGCAGTAGACTGGTTAGGCTGGGTTGGGAGGTGACAGCATTAGACAGGTTAGGCTGGGTTGGGAGGTGACAGCAGTAGACTGGGTTAGGCTGGGTTGGGAGGTGACAGCATTAGACAGGTTAGGCTGGGTTGGGAGGTGACAGCAGTAGACTGGGTTAGACAGGTTAGGCTGGGTTGGGAGGTGACAGCAGTAGACTGGGTTAGACAGGTTAGGCTGGGCTGGGAGGTGACAGCAGTAGACTGGGTTAGACAGGTTAGGCTGGGTTGGGAGGTGACAGCAGTAGACTGGGTTAGATAGGTTAGGCTGGGTTGGGAGGTGACAGCAGTAGACTGGGCTAGACAGGTTAGGCTGGGTTGGGAGGTGACAGCAGTAGACTGGGTTTAGGACAGGTTAGGCGGGTTGGGAGGGTGACAGTATTAGACAGGTTAGGCTGGGCTGGGATGGTGACAGCAGTAGACTGGGTTTAGACAGGTTAGGCTGGGTTGGTAGGTGACAGCAGTAGACTGGGCTAGAAGGTTAGGCTGGGTTGGGAGTGACAGCAGTAGACTGGGTTAGACAGGTTAGGCTGGGGTTGGGAGGTGACAGCAGTAGACTGGGTTAGACAGGTTAGGCTGGGTTGGGAGGGGGTGGACAGCAGTAGACTGGGTTTAGACAGGTTAGGCCTGGGTTGGGGAGGTGACAGCAGTAGACTGGGTTAGACAGGTTAGGCTGGGTTGGGGGTGACAGCAGTAGACTGGGCTAGACCGGTTAGGCTGGGCGATGTTGAGGTGTGACAGCAGTAGACTGGGTTCGACAGGTTAGGCTGGGGTTGGGATGGTGACAGCATTTAGACAGGTTAGGCTGGGTTGGGAGGTGACAGCAGTAGACTGGGTTAGACAGGTTAGGCTGCGCTGGGAGGTGACAGCAGTAGACTGGGTTAGACAGTTAGGCAGGGTTGGAAGGTGACAGCAGTAGACAGGTTAGGCTGGGTTGGGGAGGTGACAGCAGTAGACAGGTTAGGCTGGGTTGGGAGGTGACAGCAGTAGACTGGGTTAGACAGGTTAGGCTGGGTTGGGAGGTGACAGCAGTAGACTGGGTTAGACAGGTTAGGCTGGGTTGGGAGGTGACAGTAGTAGACTGGGTTAGACGGGTTAAGCTGGGTTGGGAGGTGACAGCAGTAGACTGGGTTAGACAGGTTAGGCTGGGTTGGGAGGTGACAGCAGTAGACTGGGTTAGACAGGTTAGGCTGGGTTGGGAGGTGACAGCAGTAGACTGGGCTAGACAGGTTAGGCTGGGTTGGGAGGTGACAGCAGTAGACTGGGTTAGAGAGGTTAGGCTGGGTTGGGAGGTGACAGCAGTAGACTGGGTTAGACAGGTTAGGCTGGGTTGGGAGGTGACAGCAGTAGACTGGGCTAGACAGGTTAGGCTGGGTTGGGAGGTGACAGCAGTAGACTGGGTTAGGCTGGGTTGGGAGGTGACAGCAGTAGACAGGTTAGGCTGGGTTGGGAGGTGACTGCATTAGACAGGTTAGGCTGGGTTGGGAGGTGACAGCAGTAGACTGGGTTAGGCTGGGTTGGGAGGTGACAGCATTAGACAGGTTAGGCTGGGTTGGGAGGTGACAGCAGTAGACTGGGTTAGGCTGGGTTGGGAGGTGACAGCATTAGACAGGTTAGGCTGGGTTGGGAGGTGACAGCAGTAGACTGGGTTAGGCTGGGTTGGGAGGTGACAGCAGTAGACTGGGTTAGACAGGTTAGGCTGGGCTGGGAGGTGACAGCAGTAGACTGGGTTAGACAGGTTAGGCTGGGCTGGGAGGTGACAGCAGTAGACTGGGTTAGACAGGTTAGGCTGGGTTGGGAGGTGATAGCAGTAGACTGGGTTAGATAGGTTAGGCTGGGTTGGGAGGTGACAGCAGTAGACTGGGCTAGAAGGTTAGGCTGGGTTGGGAGGTGACAGCAGTTAGACTGGGTTAGGACAGGTTAGGCTGGGTTGGGAGGTGACAGCAGTAGACTGGGTTAGACAGGTTAGGCTGGGCTGGGAGGTGACAGCAGTAGACTGGGTTAGACAGGTTAGGCTGGGTTGGGAGGTGACAGCAGTAGACTGGGTTAGACAGGTTAGGCTGGGTTGGGAGGTGACAGTATTAGACAGGTTAGGCTGGGCTGGGAGGTGACAGCAGTAGACTGGGTTAGACAGGTTAGGCTGGGCTGGGAGGTGACAGCAGTAGACTGGGTTAGACAGGTTAGGCTGGGTTGGGAGGTGACAGCAGTAGACTGGGTTAGACAGGTTAGGCTGGGTTGGTAGGTGACAGCAGTAGACTGGGTTAGACAGGTTAGGCTGGGTTGGGAGGGTGACAGCAGTAGACTGGGTTAGACAGGTTAGGCTGGGTTGGGAGGTGACAGCAGTAGACTGGGTTAGACAGGTTAGGCTGGGTTGGGAGGTGACAGCAGTAGACTGGGTTAGACAGGTTAGGCTGCGCTGGGAGGTGACAGCAGTAGACTGGGTTAGACAGGTTAGGCAGGGTTGGAAGGTGACAGCAGTAGACAGGTTAGGCTGGGTTGGGAGGTGACAGCAGTAGACAGGTTAGGCTGGGTTGGGAGGTGACAGCAGTAGACTGGGTTAGACAGGTTAGGCTGGGTTGGGAGGTGACAGCAGTAGACTGGGTTAGACAGGTTAGGCTGGGTTGGGAGGTGACAGTAGTAGACTGGGTTAGACGGGTTAAGCTGGGTTGGGAGGTGACAGCAGTAGACTGGGTTAGACAGGTTAGGCTGGGTTGGGAGGTGACAGCAGTAGACTGGGTTAGACAGGTTAGGCTGGGTTGGGAGGTGACAGCAGTAGACTGGGCTAGACAGGTTAGGCTGGGTTGGGAGGTGACAGCAGTAGACTGGGTTAGACAGGTTAGGCTGGGTTGGGAGGTGACAGCAGTAGACTGGGTTAGACAGGTTAGGCTGGGTTGGGAGGTGACAGCAGTAGACTGGGCTAGACAGGTTAGGCTGGGTTGGGAGGTGACAGCAGTAGACTGGGTTAGACAGGTTAGGCTGGGTTGGGAGGTGACAGCAGTAGACTGGGCTAGACAGGTTAGGCTGGGTTGGGAGGTGACAGTATTAGACAGGTTAGGCTGGGTTGGGAGGTGACAGCAGTAAACTGGGTTAGAAAGGTTAGGCTGGGTTGGGAGGTGACAGCAGTAGACTGGGCTAGACAGGTTAGGCTGGGTTGGGAGGTGACAGCAGTAGACTGG